AAAAAAAAAAAAAAAAAAAACCTGCCAGAGTTTCAGTTGCGCAGGTGTGAGGTGAAGAAACGGTTGCGCAGGAAGAACAGGTGAAACCTGCAACATCGACTCATCCTCTGCCTRGTTGCAGTTCGTCTGAGGCCAGTGGAAACTTTACGACGCAGAGAAAATGTGACACGGCAACGTGGAAGGAGGAATCGGCTCAGATAACCTGCTTTAATTAAAAATTCCTATGTGAGGATCACATTTAGAGCAGTTCCTGAGCTCCACTTTTCTCTCTTTACGTGCCGAACTCAGAGGAACTTAAAGACCTCTTTGTATGGATAGTTCATAACCAGAGCACTGTCAGAATTACTGAGACAACCACTCAGTTTACAACTGATTGCTAAGGTTTAATAGTTTATGACTGCTTCTTGAGGCAAACCATGTTCTGATATAAAACTCTGCATGTGGTTAATTATAATAAATCTCTTCTGCCCTGCATTTCCTTCTCTGGTTGCATTGAAGGAGCAGAACAGTTGTGGAGAAAAATATTGCATTTCTTTGCTTGAGTAAACCTCTGAGTAGCCTAATATAAAGATCCTCTGTTGAGATAAAATGCCAAGCATTTCTTGAAAGAATGAATGTTGCTCACTAACTTTCAGGCTATAATAATCTTGTTTTTCTCCTCGTATTCTCAGTAATGTTTGCATGAAACTGAACCGGAAAAACGGCTAAAGCTAGCCTTTTCCATTGTTGTTATGAATATGAATAATAATATTTTCTTCTAAGTTTGGATCAAACTTTAAAGAGCCACATGTAGCCCCAGAGCTGTGAGTTGCAGACCCCACTGGGTTTGTCAGATAGTTTTAAGATTCTGTGTCCGGGGAGCTGATCTCTGTGTGMGGGGAATTTGTGGCATTTAACAAAGGAAAGGGGCTCTCCCTTCTTCCCTCCCACCTCTGCAGACTTTGAATCTATCATGGTTGTCACCTAACATCAGCAAGTGTAACGGCTGAGGCTTTTTGTGTACCCCGTCGGAGTGAACCGAAGACGGAGGGCGACCATCAAAGAGACGTCTGCGTCACAAGGGTGTGAAGAAGAAGAAGAAGAAGAAGAAGAAGAAGAAGAAGAAGAAGAAGAAGAAGAAGGGATCATGGCACGAGAAGCAGATTACTGAGGTAAAGGAGAGAGTAAATGGTCTTGTCTAGTTGAGCGGCTTTTCCTAACTAGATTTTACTTTATTTTTACTAGCTAGCTCCTGGACAGACAATCCATCAGACCCACCCGAACACACAGATCTGATCTTTACATGCCCAAATGGAATCAGAGCAGAATTCTTGTATTCTTTGAATTACCCATTTGCTTGGGTAAAAGTGACCCATGACCCAAATTCCTCCTGAGAGCTCTCGGTCCTGGAGCTCCTTGAGTTTGCTGAGAAATCACTGATAGTGATGAGAACAGTTCGAAGGCTGACTGTTGCTGCATTCTGGCCTTGGTGGTATCAAATCCCTCCGTATCTTTGGCCGACTATAGATTTGGTACAAGGAAACCTGTTTTCTCTGAATGATTGTTTTCTGTCAGCATCAAGAGTGAAACAAAAGACGAGCTTTGTCTCCGATGGCTTGCGAAAACTTTGAGGAATTTGGAGTGAGATGTGCCAGTTGCTGCATACTTGAAATATGTCACTTTCCACCCACGTGTTTTCCCACAGACCACGGSTGAGTTTTGCCACACCAGGGGATGTGCTCCCTGATCACTTCGACCCCCGCCGTCCAATTAAAAGGAACTGATGATGCCATGTGGAAATGATCGAACGAGACGCAAGCAGGTTTGTCATCAGATATGAGCAGCTTTTTAAAAAAAAGTTCCTGTTTACCTCAAGGAATGCGACTCAGCTTTAAGCTGCTTTTCTGAGAGTCTGGAAAGAAGCCAGGGAGGCCTGATGACAGGCAGACGGCCTCTCCGTGGTATCAGCGCCTTCCAATCTGCCGTCGCATGCCACAAGATATCAGACACACTCGTGTGACTGCAGTTTACTGTTCGGTATCGGACCGAGTCGGTGATTAGTGAAGCAGGTCGAGGCTGGCTCTGAAGACAAGCAGCAGTTTTGTTCTCTGACGGTCAGGAGGTGGAACAATCACAGCTAGAAAAGTGCTTTGTTCAGAGCTGCTTCTGTCCAGATCTTCAAGCATTTGACTCTTTGAATAAAAACAAAACAAAAAATAAGGAAAATGTAAGAAGAGTGGAAAAGTAACAGGGGCGGAGGAAGCTCCTGTAATCCTGAGAATCCTGAMATTTTTTTTCTCTTTAAAAACATTTTGGATTTGAAACAAACCAAACAAATCACCCCAAAACAGACTCTAAAGATTAATGCAGCTCATGTTCACTTTTTAAATTTTTTTTTTACATTGTCCAGTTTAAATGTTATGGAACMAAAACAGAGCACCTTCCTGCTCAAAGGGAACAAATGTTACACAACTAAGAAGCCTCCCCCCCTTCTCTTGTGGAACAGATTGCCCCCGACTTGTTATTGCATTTGCTGCCAGTGTTCGTTATTTTCTCATTGCAGCTTTAAAGAAAGCAGGTTCAGCTCTCACTCTTCACCTGTTAGGAGCCTCTCTTGGTGGTGGGGGTTGGAGAGCACAGATCAAGTATTATGAAAGCTGTCTTAAGAAAAAAAAAAGTTAATCCTACGGTGCATTCTTGTTGTTGGCTTTTTGCAATGGGAACTGATATTTAGCACAGAGAGTTCAGTGTAAAGTAGAGGATTAAGTGTGTTTTGTAATTATGTGCCTGGGCATGGGGCGGGGGGGGGGGGGTTAGAGAGGGGGGACTGCTGAAGTTTTAAAGAGGAGAGGGTTTTGTTTTTCTTTCTCTTTTTTTTCCTTTTTTTGTCAGAGTTGTCGCCCCAAACTGTTGCTGCGTGTGACTTCTGCCCAGAGCAAGCCTCCAGGTGAGAAAGCAGCCATAAAAAAGATGGACGGCTGACAAGATTTTACATGTTGTTAAYTGTGTGTTTGTCTGTTAGCAAAATATATCATGAACTACAAAATAAATTTTAATGAAACTTTCAGAAAGTAATCACTGGATGTACATSAATGACTGATTAACTTATGGAGTCAACCTAATTCAAGATGGTGCCACTCAAAACTGAGTCAGTTTMACATTGAYCTYAAATTTGATGTGGTAGTAGCTGAGAGTTGTTCATAACACGTACTGCTAAATCTTGCCAGGTCGTATAAGACAGGTCACATACTTACCTATAATTTGTTTCAGATTTGGATTTATTTACTTTGCAGCATTTTTCTTTCCTTCACCAGAACTTGACTCCTTATCATTTAGAACATTACTGTATCATTGCAGTGGATCTTTGTCCTGCCTGCCTGGACACGTCTTGTGGTTCTGTTACCTCATAAACAAACCACCCAAACAACCTGCAGTATGACTGGGACAAATCAAAGCAAACAAAGAACACAAACACAAAAAGTTGCTCAATGTCTTGAAACAGCAAAGTGTCTGTCAATCTCAAGTGCAAKCTCAGAGTCAAATTAAAAACCAACCTATCTGAGGTTTCTTTTACGGCAAGCCTTGTGTGTATTTATTCAATATACATGATTATCAAGTTTTGATTTTGCCTGCTAGTTTGTGACTACACTGTAGTTACACTAATTCAGCAAACACTATTACGAATAACACTTTTTGGCCAACTAG